AATGAGCAAATATAATAAAATACAATACAATAACCCATTTTACAAAACATTCAGCAGTCTAATGGCAGAGGGGAAGAAACTGTTGTGGAATCTGCTGGACCTGCATCCAATGCTTTGAAATCTCTTCCCTGAAGGCAGCAGGAAGTACAAGGAAACGTAACATTTCAATGGTTTTATATGTGAGGGTTGCCTTACTGCCTGGCATTTCTTTTGACTTTTAACAATAGTTTTTAAAATAAGTTCAAGTGAGCAACAATAAATTACTGTTTCTTAGTTATCAAGTTTAATTAGATGTTTCAGCAATAGAAAAACAAATTAGTTATGCTTTGCTTTAAAAAAAATATATTGGAAGATGATTATTTGAACTCTGGGTGAATATAAAATGTCTGTTTGAAATGATTACATCTCTTGTAGAGGATGATTGTTTCTAAACTGACAACTATGTAAATGTTTGAATTAATGTGTTCCAGTAGCCTGCCATGGCCAGAAGTGTATAAAAGCAAACAAACAGCTTGTCGTTCTGAGGGATTGGCAGCAGGCTACCATAATAAAATGCTACCTGAATAACAAGTAAAGTTACAAAATTGTATTAATACCAAATATTCCACACTGCATTGTCACTGGTAGTATAAACTCAGTTAATCTATCATTTTACTTGGCAGGTCAAGTTAAGCAAGAGATTAGCCTTCAGAATAGCACTAAAGAATAGTGCAATATATTGTACCTCCAGCAATAATCTCACTTTTAACAAGGTTTGCAAACAATGTATCATGTTATAATTAACAGAAAATTGATTATCTGTTCGGTCATAATAAACCACTTTCTGTATCTTCTGATCAGATGTTACTTAGTTAGTTTTATGAAGTTAAAACCCAAGAGCAGCTCATTCATAATGTTAAGGAGGCCTTTGAATTTCACCCAGACTAGGTGGCAAAATCGAGAGACACAACTTTATTTGGAGTCTGAGGAATTCAGAAGCCAAATAAACCTGTTTCTGAGTCACCTTTGTAAAGTGGTAGAGAGGAATTTGTTTTCTACTAAACACAGTCATTAAATTGAGGTGTAGTTAGTCATGAACATCGCTATGATAGCTGGTACAGACCGATGTTCTCATGAGAAACAGCTGCTAAGTTTGTAAAGCAAAGGACAAATAACAACATAATCTTTTCATTTCTTCCATCCTACTTTACATCCTCCTTCTTCCCCCTTAACAAACGTACAACATACATATAATTTCTAAAACAGACAAACTTCTGTTATTGCTGAATTACGCTTTGGCTAAAATAACCACCACAAATTGTTTTCTGTTGCCACAAAGCCCTAATACACAACAAACAGAATTATACTGTGGGTCTGATATTCAAAGATTTCAATTTGCTCCTGTTAAAAATATATAACAAAATTGTATGTGCAATTAACAGGCATGTTGCAGCTGATCTACAAAGATCAGATACCCAATTGTAAACAGGTGCAAAATTAGTTTAGACCAGCATATTCAAATAAGGAAATTGTTTGGCTTGCTGCCAATTGGGTAAAAGATGAAAAAAAAAATGGTAAAAGCATTAAACTGAATATAATGTACTTTACATAAAAGTAACTAAAGTTGATCAAAAAAGGTAAAAGGTTAAAATAGTTGGAGTTAAACAAAATGTAATATAAATCTTAAACCAGGAAAAAAAAACTGTAATTGATGCCCGAAAGGATCCTGCTTGTAGTTTTCAGCATAATGACTAATAAGGTTCTGTGGATTGCTTGACAGAGGATTCCTAAAACATTTGATAAAAGTCAAACAGTTAAAAAAACAATTTAAAACAATATTTTTAACAAAATTCATTCTATAGATGCTACGTAAATACCTGGTAACAACTGCATAGATTTAAGAGTTTGCAATATATTTGAAAACAGGCATATTAGAGCACAAACAAATTAGAAGATTATTTGTGCACCAAATCCTGATTCCTAAATCTTATTAAAATGCTTTTTTGTATTATTATTATTATTATTATTATTATTATTATTATTATTATTATTATTATTATTATTATTATTATTATTATATATTGGATATAATAAGTCCAACTGCCTGATTAAAGATGTAAAATAGCAGGACAAGTGTCCGACAGGGTAAATGAAAATCTGCTATTGCAGTCTCTCAAATAGTTTCTCTTCTACATTTAAAATTTTTTCAGAGTTGGACAAAAATGTTTACGAAAGGATTTTAATGCCTTAATATGTTTACAGAAAGCATGTTAAGGGAAGGTTACAAATATAAACATACACTTTAGTTTTAAAATTGTACTTTTTGGGTAAAACCCCAAACAGTGCACTGAAAGGTTAAACAGTCTTTGCAGTCCTATAAGAGGATATTGAATTAGACTGACTTTGCTGTTCTTTAGAAAGACCAGAAGATGTGGGCAAATCTCTGGTCATGAGACTCCTTCACCAGAGCAGACACAGAGCGGCACACAAACCAAAGACTGATTACATCTGCAGCTCCAAGTCTGCTCAGAGGTGTTGCACATACTCAGATAGAATTACCATGAACCCACGAGAAAGAAAGAAAAAATAAAGAAGAGAGAGGTGGATTCTTAACAGTGATGCTGCTTAGGCATGAAGAATGCCTCATTGTTACAGCAAATCCAAGGTGGCCTGAAGCTCTACTCTATTTCATGTGACAGCTGCATAAACTCCATAAGTTTGCTGAGAAAAAATGTTCAGGTTTGGTTCAGGGAAAGTTAGAATCAGCTTAAGGGTAAACATCTGACATAGCTAGTGGTAATTTTAGTCTTCATCACCTTAACCTTTTCAAAACTTATTTTACAAGAGCTTTTTATCCATTTAGATTTCTTTTTGAAGAATAATCTATAGATATAGATTATCTATAGATTTTTTTTCCACTGAGTAATTAAAGAGTGACTCACACTGTTGATAAAAGTATTCCAACATTGAGCTGTCCAAACTGTGATATCAAAGACAAACAATCCATTGTATACCTGTGTGTACAGATGAAGGACATTAGGTAGATGCTGCTCCAGTTGGGGTAAACGTTGATGACCTGTTTTGTGGTCATGGTTTGAGTATGTGTAAATTTCCAACTCCTCTAGCTGCTTTCTGAGCACTTGAAGGAGCTTAGAGTTTCCAGAAGAGCCCTCGACCTTCTCCTCCTTCAACTCCATCGACACAGATAACTCCCCTGAAGCACTCAGCTCTCCCGTTTCCTTATTGATCCTCTCTCTCTTCATAGTTTGGTCCTGGGGGACAAATAAGAAGAAATCCTGATGTTGCTTGTTCCTTTTTTAGGATGCCAAAATGTTTTGAAGATTGTGAGTGGGTCTCGCTTCATCATATTGGTTTGTCCCAAACAGAGCCCTCTTCTGTCCTTCCCTCAGCACATGCTGGCATTGATGAATAACATAACAAACTAGCTTCTGGCTGTCACGAGCCATTCTTATGTACAAAGGTGGGCTCTATGAGAGATCAGCATGCTGTCCTCAATTCATAATCGTCAGTAATGCAAATAAACCTCAATACTAAAATCTCTCCAGTTTCTCCTTTTTATGCCAGAGCTCCCATTGCAACTTTTAAAAAGGATCTTTGGGCAACAATGGCACAGATTGTTTATTCTTCCAGTATGCTGGTATGCAGCAGCAGAGTACTTCCTCTAACTGATTGCCACTGAGAGCTTTAAACAAAGACAACAGGTGATGCGATTTGGTATCCTTCTGCCAAACAGATTACCTGGAAAAGTGTTTCCTCATCACATGGATTGTTTCTTTGCAAGGTTTCTATTTAAAGTAAGAACATGATGCATAACGAGGAAAGATTTGCAGCAACAAGGTTATCTGATGAGCTGCATCAAGTTAAGAAACATATTTGTTGGAAATTTAATAACACATGGTATCATGTTTTGTGTTCAAAGTTTTTTTTTCATCTATTCTACCAATCACAAAAAGACAAGAATGCTGTGAAACATGTCAACTACTAATAAGAACTTTTCCGACATGCTTATACACATTTTACAAGAAAAGAGATGCATGAAACAGAGAGAGAAACCATACCTGCAGCTGTGTGAGATCCATGAAGGGGTTTCCTGGCTACAAAGGGATATTGTCCTCTGTTTTGTGTTCTTCCAAGGAAGTGAGTGGTCCAGCTGTATTCCCATGTCAGGAATGAAAGACAAGAAGGGACCTGCTATGATATGACGAATAACCCACAACACCCAGACCCTTTTGCAAAAAAAGAAAAAAAAATGAAAAGAAACAAGAAACAAGCCCGCCCCTTACTAATCTGCACCTAATAGACTTTGAACAAGCAATGCAACTAGTGTCAGCTGGTTCAGGTCATGTGGTTTCTCACTTCCTCCAAGAAGCAGAAGTGAAAAACTGTTGCATGGCTGGTTGGACGAGGCCCTCCCTGCAAAGTTAAGAGCTGTTGTATTTAAAGACTAGTCAAGTCGGACATACATGAGATGAATCACATTTATAAGACTGAATCATTCACCAGAGTATGAATGACCCCCCCCCAGCTGCACGTTTATGTCTAAAACAATCCTGACCTCTGATAGCAGCTGGTAAAACGGGCCTGGCTGTGTGTATTTCTACCTCTCTGTCATTCTGAATAGTAACTCTTAAGCAATTCCGTGCCCCATTTGCAGTTCTTGCTCAAAATACCTATAAAGCCTACCTTTACTGATCCTCTAGAAGATCAGAAACAAACTTGGCAAATAAATAAATACATTTCAAATGAGAGCAAGTAGGTGACCTTTAACAGTTAAAGAAAACATTTCAACAGATTTAGAGGTGGATCCTGTGAGAAAATTAATAAATTGTGAACTTGAGCAAAATGTGGGCTGTAAAATAAACAAGCAAAGCAAATATGAGTATACATCGCCATCTCCTGGGTACAAATGATAAAAGAGTCTGAAAATAACAAGGCAGCCAGACATTAGAGCCTACTAATCTCTCTATCATTCACACATCCAGGTGAGTAATTACTGTTAGATTTTAACAGAAAAAATTATGATGTTTTATGCATATCATACAGTTTTTCAGATTTTCTCTATGTCAGGATTTGGTTGAGGTTTGAGGACCCAAATGCAGGTGGGTTTCTTGATGATTCAATGAAGTGTAAACAAACAACAGGGGCAGGAATCCAAAAAAATCAAACATGAAAAAGGTCCAAACAAAACAGAAACCATGGAGATATCGGAGGGGGAAACTATCTCGAGGGGGAAGACTCAGAGAGACGGAGTTGGAGGAAGTTAGACGAGGAACCAGCACTGAGGAACTGAACAGAGTGTGTATTTATGTGAGACTGAAACAAAGAGAGGACTAACGAGCAGATTGGGAGCAGGTGTGAACAGAGCAGAACAGGAAGGGAGCTAGGGAAAAGGAGAACACGAGAGGGCAGCAGAGGGCAACAAATAAAAACCTGAAAAAAAAAACAGAGAACACAACAAAATAAGAATTAAACCACTAAAACTAGAAAACATGGAGTAAAGTAAAAATGAAAACTCAAAAGAAAACATAACAGAATGAGAACTGTAACACTCTATAAAAATGACATCTCATAATTGGATAACTGGATCAGATTCATTTAGGCCTAGATTTAGTCCTGCATCAAAATAGACCAGCCACATTATTATTGGAACATCTATCTCGTCTAATCGTCTCCGAACATGTGAACAAAATGTGAACATCTAAAAACTTTACATATGAGAGAACTGCATATGATGGGAAAAGGCTTTGGTTACAAAAAAATACACATTTCACACGACAGAACCATAATATAGAGTACAACTTCTCAATCAGTAGGCGTTTTTTTGAGTATTTTGTAAAATATTTACCAAAAGTATCGGTTAAAAAAAACAATAGGTTTATACAAAAAATTCAAATAAAGATGTGGACACAGTCTGCAGTGACTGTACATTTTAATGTTAGAATTTACTTTCAAATAACCTTAAAAATAACAATTTAAAAGTAAATCAAATCAGTGTATCTTTGCTTCATGGTCGATTCTAAACCACAAGTCCTTAAAGTTCTAGGATCTCCGAGGGACCTTGAACACAGCCCTGTGTTGTTTCAGGTGGACCAGCTTTTCGTTACCATTGAAACAGCAAAGCGGCATTCCATGTTTCAAACGTTTTGGATAAGTTTCGTAACAAAGCATGGATTTATTGAAGCTAGAAGTCTCCATAGTTAGTTTTTACTTGACAACTGAAGTTAACCACAGTTTGCGTATTTAATTCATCTTCTATCGGTTAATTAGAAAGGTCCAGCTCAGGTAATGATGTTTACTTTGTCTTTGTTTCTTTACCCTGACCTGCTCATAGACCCAATAGGATTTATTTTCAACATGACTTCAACGTCTTCTTCAATTTATTTTTAGAACCCTTTCCGTTGGTCAAAATCCTCTGAGGGTGTTCACCCTTGGAAAGCTTGGATGATTGCAAAGGTTCTGCAATTTGATTACCCTAAAAGGCCTCCAGAGGGCGCTATGTACGGCGTAGACGTTTCGGCAAATAAACAAACAATTATTTCAGGCCTCCAGCTTCTCATTACCATGGATACAGAGAAGGGGCATTCCAGTTTCAAACGTTTTGAATAAGTTTACAGAACTTATCCAAAGTTGGGCAGCCTGAAAACTTCAGCACCAGGCTCAGGATCTTGGAGAAGCTGGAGGTAAAAGGAGCTCCAAGGGGTACTCCGTACTTTTCTTATCTGGTGAGGGCTTCACCAGATATTGCTAGCAGACCCTCACTACTCACTCCAGCCTGCCAAGTCAGTTTGACTTCCTCCTCTTTCAGTATATCCAGCTGACCACCAGTTGGTGATCGGTGGCCAGCTTCACCTGAATGTCCAAGACATGAGGTCGACTGTAAGAAGATATAACTGCAAATCCAATTGACATCCAACCTATTAGCCAAAAAAAAAAAAAAAAAAGATTTTATAGCAACTTTCAAAAATCGGAAGCGCGTCTTGAACCACCAACCTCAAAAGTGGTATTCAGCTGATGCCATTAGCAAGATGTCAATGATCCTGAAAGCAAAACTACATAAAACATTTGTCACCAGTGGCTTGCTTACATTTTCATCATTACATTGTTTGATCTAACCAAAATAGTTTTGTTGTGCCATATGCCATGATTGGGGTTTTTGGACATTGGGAACCAGTGTCATGTCAAGATTAAAATCTTGATATGATGACCAAATGAGAACACGCAGCTTTGGTGAATAACAGCTGGGGGAACTCTGCGGGCCCATCCCTTTCTTAGCCAAGGCCTCCAAAGCAGTCACAGGAACTCCCACAGAGGTGTGACTTGCCAGCCCCCCTCTCTGTGAGGACAGAAAGAAATCACAGAGCACACAGAATTCCTGCTCTTTGCCTCCTTTCCCTTGCCCATGAAGTTGGGGTCCATCTGCGGCAAAATGGAGATCCTGTCGAAGCGGAAAGACCCAGATCTCCAGAATCCTCAAGGATAAGACAGAACCTTTCAGAACCAAACTGCTGCAAAACAGACCTTTTGCAACACATTTCTCTTGAGTTTCAGAACTTATAGAGCCAGACTGGATGAGAACCCTGTCCTGGGTATGAGCCTGAAACAAAGAGGACCCCTGCTGTGAGCCACTGAGACAGAGAGAGACTGCCTTGCTGTGGCCTGCCTCCTAAACTCCAGCTGGACGGAAACTCAACCTTTCCAAATAGACATGGACAAAAACGTTTGCAGGTCTGGCATGAATAGGGACAGAACAAACATGTCTTTTGATGATGAGTAAGAACAAGGCTAACAGGATGGACTGCATGCTATGCTATGCTATACAGAAACATGTGTTGAGCTATTGTTGTTGAAGCTTTATTATAAAAAGGGTTCATTAGAACATTAGTGTTCATGTGTTCCTAATATGCTCGTTACATTTCGATTACAAAGTATGACCAAGTGTCAATTAGTGGAATCCTGATATCTGCTGATGAAGGTTCTCAGTCATCCAGGTCATAGTCATTCCGTAAAAATTCAAAAAATATCCACTGGACTTGGTTTCCAAGATTTGAAGACGTTTCTCCACCTCTCCAGGAAGCTTTCTCAATTGAGTCCAGTGGATATTTTTTGAATTTTTACGGAAATCCTGATATCTATTCACTCCTAGCTATTTCAGAGAGGGTAAAGGATCATTGACTAAAGGTTATCGATTCTTAATTATGCAAATCATTTAATAAAAAATTATTTGGCAAAATAATGGTTTATTCACCTCATAGATTTGCATTGTTAATTGTTCTGAAAGCATTCCATTTGCTCCGAATTAGTGAAAAGCTAATTTGATCATATCCCAAATTCTTCCAGATAAACTTTTCAAACACAAGATCCATCTTAAACTGTAATATGGTTTTCAACCATGTTTCCCTTTCCTCTTTGTACATAGTTTAGTTTCGTCTCACTAGACTGATACTGAAAACTGTAAACTGATATATGCTTGGAGCTGAATGATTTTTGTTAATAAACTCTTAGATTTTGAACAGAAGTTGTGGTAAATTTATTCCATGTACCGGTATGTGCAGAATTAACAGTTTTACCATGATTAGAGCTTGTATCATTTATTGTTCTAACACCCAGCTAGTAGGGCGTGTGTTCATAAACAATATATAACAGCCAAAATAATATTTAAGATATTTTCCACCCCTACTTTAACCATCTTAAACAGAAAATATAAATTCCCATTCTACAAACTCCCACATCTTGACTTCTTCTGTTTTATGGCGGTTGGCAAACAGCTTTTTGGTGCAGTACCGCCACCAACTGAAATGGAGTGTGGATCGGGAATGAACTACTGTAATTCAATATCCTACTACAAAAGTAAAAAAAAATAATAAATCGTCTTTAACAAGTTTGTCTTTTTAAGAAATTGCAATAAGGAAAAACCCTCATATTTAGAGTCAAAGTCTAAAATTTATTTTAAGTTTAACTTTAATTTATGGATTTGTAATCTGGATTTGTAATCTGTTGATTTGTAATCTCATTCCCTTCTATTCCTATAAGAAGGAATCCATATAAAATAAATAATCCCATTGCTTGAATTCTAAATAACTCCTGATTTCCCGCTAATAGATCAGGTCTGCAGTCTGAGTGACTGTGTTTAAACGAAAATAATGCTGAACTAGAATCAGAGCAAACTATGCTTCTTAATGGA